TGTAAGCTTCAGAGCAGTACTAAGTACTGCTCTGAAGATGCAAGCTAGGTTTCTGCATACAGCAGGTGTATCTCTCTGTGCCATGTCTATGAAGTTTATGAATAGCATAGCTAATTTTTTCTCTTTATCTTTCAGACTATTCAACTTGCAAGAGACTTGGTGCCAGCTATTGTGCTCTACCGAAAAATTATACCCAACCCAAATGCACTGGCAGAACAACACTGTGTAAGGAAGTTCTCAATGACACATGGGTGTCCTTCCCTACTTGGTCTGAAGACTCTACTTTTGTGACATCCCGCAAAACACAATATGAAGAATACATTTATCGATGTGAAGATGAAAGATTTGAATTGGATGTTGTCATTGAGACAAATGCAGCAACCATTCGAGTTCTTGAAGGGGTGCATAAAAAATTACAGAGGCTCTCACCTGAAGAAGTTGCCAAGTTTAGATTAGATGACTGCCTTGGAGGAGCTTCTCCCACAATTCATCAGAGAGCACTGAAAAGAATATATGGAGACAAGGCTGCTGACATTATTGATGGCCTGAAGAAAAATCCATCTGTAGCTGTGCCTGTCGTTTTAAGAAGGTTAAAGGCTAAAGAAGAGGAGTGGAGAGAAGCCCAGAAGGGTTTCAACAAGCTGTGGAGGGAGCAAAATGAAAAGTACTACTTGAAATCATTAGACCACCAGGGTATTAATTTCAAACAAAATGATGTTAAGCAACTTCGTTCTAAGAGTTTATTCAATGAAATAGAAACATTATTTGATGAACGTCACGAGCAGGCTGAAGAAGGGAGCAGTGAAACAACAACTGGTCCTCACCTAGTGCTTCCATATAAGGATAAAACAGTCTTAAATGATGCTGCAGAGCTACTTATTCACCATGTTAAGAGGCAGACAAGTATACACAAAGAGGACAAACAAAGAATAAAGCAACTGTTGCGTCATTTCCTACCTGATTTATTCTTCCATCCTCGACAAGAGCTGAGTGATGATGAGAGAGATGATGCTGAGAATGATGAAGACAGTGATGCCAATGCGTCCAAGACTACACCTGGTGCTGACCGAAGAGATGGGTCTAATGGAGCTCAAGATAAGAAGGACGAAGAGAGCGAAGGAGATGTGAAACCCCCGCCTCATGCAGTATCACAGCATCCTGATGAATGCTACTCCCTCTTCTTTGGTAATAACAACTGGTACTTGTTCTACCGGTTGCACCACATCCTTTGTGAGCGCCTTACTCGTATGTATGATCGAGCGGTTGCTTTAGCTAATGAAGAGGCAAAATATAGAGTTGACAGGAAGGAGTCAACAGCAATTGCCCTGAGATTAAAGCCCAAAAGTAAGTATTTGCCAGAATACTTGAAGCTACTTATCAATTTTATTTTGTTACCTTCGTACTATTATACATTTTTGATTTTTTCATAGATGAAATTGATGTTGAAGATTATTACCCAGCATTCCTGGATATGGTTCGCAATGTGTTAGATGGTAATATGGATAGCAATGCTTATGAAGACACACTTCGAGAAATGTTTGGAATACATGCATATATAGCATTTACTTTAGACAAGGTTGTCACCTATGCTGTGAGACAGGTATGAACTAATTTTCAGATGTTTAATCCACCCTTACTCTTAAAAAAAAAAAAAATCTGTTTCATAAACAAATGTTTTCTCTTCAGTTACAACATCTGGTATCAGATGATCCATGCACTGAGTGTCAAGAAATTTTCTTATCGGAGCAAAAAAGAGGAGGTACTGCCATTGGTGGACCCTGTAGTACTGCTCATCTGAGAACAGCAGCAGAGGTAGCTTATCAAAGAAGAGCTGAACAAACACTTGCCGAAGAAAACTGCTTTAAAGTTTTAATTGTAAGTGTGAAAGCTGTCTTCTAAAACATATGTGATGTACTTTAAGATTTATATCTGGAAGGCTGTTTTACTATCAAATTACTTTTCTCTTTCAGTATAAGCGAGACTGCAAGGTTACCATTGAGCTTCTTGATACCGAGTCAGAAGAACAGGAACAGCAGACTTCATCCGAGCCGTCTAAGTGGACAAACTTCGTAGATAGGGAACGCCGCTTTTCAAATTCTGAAGAAACTAACAATGCTGAAACTGGGAACAGAGTAAAAGAAGAAAGAGATGTAAGTGGTTTTTATCACCTGCTTTCATTTTATTACAAGCCTATTTTAGAATCTTGACAAGAATTCTAACAGCAACTTTTTTGTTTGAAGGTTGATGGTGTGCTCCTTAGACAACGCAAGGCAGTATTCCTTGCTCGTAATGTCAGAAGAAAGAAGCTTGGTCAAACTGATGTAGAAAACGAAATAAAGGGAATTGGTCCTGTAGCTGTACCTGTACCCGTATCCGAGGGGAATGATGCTTCTGAATCAGAAAAGGCATTAATTGATCGGAAAAAGAAAGAGAAGTTAAGGTGTGTAGATTAACTTGCTCCATAATTTAAATTTTGTTATTTATGATGTTGTTAGCATCAGACTTTGAAGTTCCTCTTTAATTCTTTTTTCTCTTCTCTTAGTTCTGATGGTGATGAAGAAATGGAGGTTGATGAAGATGTTGAAGCAAGTGGTGGGAGAAGACAGTCAAAGCAGGGAAAGCCCAAGCCTGTACGCCTCAACCATAAGTTAAACATTGAGAGTGATAATTTGGATGGAGCAGATGAATTACAGTGTCACTTCAATCAGAACTCATACCGTATGGTTTATGTGATAAATAGAGATAACTACTTGTACCGGGAGCAGGCTCTTCCCAAAGCAAGACAGGTATATGTCAATCTAGACTCAAGTAATCTTTGAAAAGTTATTTTCATTGTCAAATTTTACATAATTTGTTCTTCTCTTGTCTCTTTTAGTCTCATCCATCTGTGTCTACAAGGCTGAATAACAAGTTCCGGTCATGGCACAACCAGTGGGCCAGAGAACATGTCAGTGATTCCCAACAGAAATCAAACAGTGATTGGTTGATGGGGCGGGGTGAAGGTGTTGTGCCAAATAGGACACGAGTTTTAACCAACAATGACATCAGCAAGCCTCCTTATAGAATTTTCAACAGATATAGGGTGGATAGGCTAGTTAGTGAAAGTGCTTCATCAGCTGCTGTTCCTACTGCTGAGTCATGATCCTGCTACTGTCTCTACAATCCTTGCAAATTAGGGCACCTTGACAAAAATCATTGAGTATTTTTGTTACTGTGACGTATTATAATGGCTTATAGTTCTCATGTAGTATTATTTCCTTGACTGATATCATTTTATTTCAGTGTTTGAACTATGAATTGAAATTGCCAATCAATATGAACATGTCATAAACATTCCTTGTTTGATTTTGATGTTGTTCACATTTGTGGCCTTACCTTTGTATGAAGTCGCATTCTCTTTCAAATATCTGGTCACTTTTACTAAATCAATTTAACTATGGCAATTCCTTACCAGCTTAGTTTTTTTTGTTTTATTCCTGTATTTCCTCATGCTTAATAATAGTACACATACAATTGGTACTGTTTTTATCTGCATGCCACATAGTCATGCATGTGTCATGCATCTTAAGTTTTGTCAACTTTCAGAAGCACAATTGAGAAAGCTTTTCTACATATTTTAGTTTTTGCAAAGATTGTTGTGAGAATCATGTGACCAGTGAATTGTTGATGTATATAACTAAATGTATACACATTTATTATTAAATATTTATCTTATATATATTATATGTATACATAGGTGTATGTAATATATATATTTTCTGTGAATATCGTGTAGGTATTTTTTTAACTTGGAAATAATGTACTTAGTATTTGAGATCTATTGGACTATAATTAATTGACTGCAACATGGTTAAACATATTGCATTCACTTAACTAAATTTGTGTAATTTAATGTAAATATACATTGCCTCGTACAGAAGTATCAGATTAAATATGAACACAGTACAAAATGTTAACATATTTTTTTGTTGTTCTAGTTGTAGAAAAGTGTCAGAGCCACCATCATATCTCACTTTCATGTAATTTGTTTTCATTATGGTATGGAGAACTAGTCAAGGCCTCTGACCATCCAGCATCCAAATTTTAGCTTAACACTAGAATCTCAATGCATGTGCAAATTGTGATTGTAAGTAAATTATATAGGTAATTTATTTATGTGAAGATGGATTGTCAGAGGTCTACGGCTAGTAAAGTGCCATTTGCTTTGTACATAAGCCCATGTGATGGTGGTCATATTTTCATTCTGTACACACATAGTACTACCTTTTCTTCAAGACAATGTATTTTAAGAACAGAAATTGGAGCTAACTGATATAGAGTGAATAAAAAAGAATGAACTCGTAAGGAAAATGCAAGACTAAATTTTGTTTTCTTACTCTACAACAGCTCCTCACTGGTCCCTTGGGTGTTTGTACAAGTCATATCATAATTGTGAATAAGACTTTGATTGCTAATTTCATAAACCCTTGGCCTGTAAATTTTGGATGACTAGTCAGTGCTGCTCAAGCTTATGGATTGGGTTGTGGAAGTACCCTAGTCAGTCAGGAATGGGAGTACTGTGTATACATACAATAATCATAACACTTCTACCTTTCATAAGTTACAAGCAATTCAATCCAGTGGCACAGTTCTCATGCTAATTTGGTGCAATCACCTCCTTTGACTGGTTATTATCCTCTATATTAGTGTTGGATGAGGTTGAGTGCTCTGTTCGTTCTGAGCACCATCTATACTGTGCCAATGTATGTTGAATTGTTTTGAATTATTGAGATCTCATTCACACTTAAGTTCCATTGGGATGTACATTATGTAAATATTTAATTCCTTATTTAAACACGTTTTGTCCCATTTGTGTCTCGTCTTGTGGCCTGCATGTTATTTAAAGAGGTTCAAACCAATGTGTTACACCCAAAATCTCTATTTCTCAAAGTATCGTAAGATTTCCTCATGTCTGTTAACAAGGCATTCTTTTCACAGATAAGCTGTTATGTTGTTAGGGAAGAGTGTGGCTTTCATTAGACAAAATCAAGGTCTTCATTTGATTTGGTTTTCATCATCTAGTAAGTCTAAACTCCAATTCTATAGAACAAAAAAACAAAAACAAACAAACAACTCCACTGGAGAATCATTTGGTGAAAAGTTGTATATCCAGTTAGCAATACTCTAATTAGACATAGACATCATACCACAAGATCAAAATTTGGTGGAGAGTGCTGAAGACTTAATAATATTCCATCATCCCAAACCATTAATCACACCCCAATTCATATCTGATTCAGAAAAGAAAGAATCCTTAAATTTTCTTTATTCGTGCTCTAAAATTAAGAGCAATAAGGATGTATTGGATGTATGTACATGTTTAGAAAAAAAGTATATTTCAAATCAGAAGAAACCTATAGGGTTCACATGAATATTAAAAAAAAACAACTGTTGGTTTCCATCAATAAAGTACAAAGTTCCTCTGCAATAACTAACATGTAACAAACCAAGCTCTCTATTCAAATATCACTATAACTAAACAAGTGCTGTTGAGGATTGTTGTTTTTTCCTTTCGTTATAATCCGGGCAATCACATGAAGTTCCCCATATATTTCTTCCATACATCATTAGCAGTGTCATTTGTGATATTATTTTCATCTTTTATTGAAGTGTTAATTCATTCATTTTTTTACATTTATTTAATGTTGTCTAGTTTGTTGAATTTTACTCCCTGTTCTTTCTACTGTCCGTTTTAACATATTTCACCTCAAAGAACTCTGTAAGCAAAGCGGACATTTTTTCCTCCCTCAGAATCCAACCAAATTTGTATAGCTATGTAGATTGTTGTGGGCATAAGCTGTTTTCCTTGAGATGAAGCAGTTTATAGACTTAATTTGGAGTATTTGATAAAAGAGTTTTCTCTTAAGCATATATTTTGTTATTTTTCTACTTGTGATGTCTCAATTGATTTGGGTCGTAATAAGAATTTCTTGTATTTTTATAGATGAATTAACTGTCTTTAAATGGTCTGAGAACTCATTAAGATCTTTATCTTTGTAAGAGACCTATTATCACGACATTTGGTTTGAAATTAAGAGCTATTAGTCAAGTTTCTAATAGTCATCAAACTTTGTTCGTCCACCAAGTCTTGCATAGTGAATGGCCCTGTGAATTGATACATTCAATTTTCTTATAGTTTTCCTAACATACAGTACAAAGAGTTGCCCTAGAGAGGATACCCTCTCAACCAACCCTCCTATCAATCGTTTTTTATATATTTAAGTTTTGTTTTTTAATGTCCAGTGTTTGGTTTTAAAGAAATGGATATGTTACACCTTTTGTCACCGCCATAAGAATCCCATGTGCATTTCCAAAATATTTTGATACATTTTTCACTGTAAAATGATCTTTTTGAAGAAAACGCACTATTTATCTGTGGTGCTTACACCAGACAACATGTAATGTAATGTAAACTGTAAACTTCGATTACAATTGTAGTTTGAAAGATTGAGAGAGAAAAGTGCAAGATTAAGTGTCATGTAAGTCAATCTTATACTGTGATCAAAAGCATTTTTTAATTCAAAATATAGTACATTGTATCATGTATACTTTTCTTGTTCTTGTTATGATGTTCACAACCGATCAGTATTTTGAGAACTACAAGACTATTAACTTCCATTATTCAGGAGATAATTCTGTTAGTATTTCTACTCCACTTTCAGTTATAAGCACAGTATGTTCACACTGAGCAGTTCTTGCCTGATCTGCTGTTATCACAGTCCATCCGTCATCAAGAAGTTCTAGCTCCATGCCCCCTTGTGTGACAGCTGGTTCTATTGTAAAAGTATTTCCAGGTCTCATCTCTCCACCAAAATCATTACCTAGAAAAAATTATTAATAATGAAAGGATGACAAACTTTATCTACAAAATAAAACAGTAATTGAGGAGTATATTTAAAGGTCTCTAAAGATAACAAATTGCCACTTTCCCCATCCCCTACATTCCATTTCCCTCATTTGGACTCTTGGGTACCCAACATGTTCTCTAGGAATATTGAAATTACTTACAAACATGCCAGACTTCTGGAGGACCATGGAAGTATGAGCCAATACCATGTCCAAGAATAGCTGGGAGAACAGTGAAACCATGATTTCTTGCAGTGTCTTCAGCTACATTGCCTAGAATCAATTATGATACGAATAATATTTGCCCTTTGATTGAAGATGCTCTAAAGAACTCTGACGTTCTGAACTACATTATAGAAATTTTAGTCGATAACTTACCTATCATAGTGAATGGTACATGAGGTTTGCAGACTTCAATGGCATTTTTGAGACAAAGTTCCGTCACCTCAACTAGCCTCCTTCCGTACTCATCAACATTGCCTATTAGGAAAGTCTTTGAGCAGTCTCCATGGAACCCATCAAAATATACCTGACAAAATATTTTCAAATTTCTCAATTATATTCTGATTAGCACACATTAATTATTTTCTTGCAAGACAAATGATTTTTAAAAGACTTACTGTGACGTCAATATTAACTATATCTCCATCCTCAAGAGGTCTATCATCAGGGATTCCATGACAAACAACATTATTGACTGAAGTACACACTGACTTCGGAAAACCTTTATAGTACAAAGGTGAGGGGTATGCATTAGCTTCTATTATAAGTTCATGAGCAATTCTATCCAATTCTTCAGTAGTTACACCAATCTGATAGTAATAAAAAAGATAGATTAAATCGTCAATATCCAGACACTCTGTAAACGACTCAAATAGAAAATCAAATTAACTAACTTTGGCTTCTCTTCCAATATGGTCTAAAACCTTTCTAGCAAGGCGACATGCACGTTTCATTCCCTTCACTGAATTTTGGTCTTTAACTTCAGGTACAGTAAACGAGACAGGTGGTGGTTGTCCAGTAGAAAAATATGGTGGTTTGGGAATGTGTGGAGGCAAAGTTCGTTGGTGTTCGGTTACATTGCTGGGACTCACTATGCTGTACTTCCCAAAATTTTTCTTCCTGCAAATTAGGAATAGAATAAAAATTATTTGATCTGGAGTGCAAAATAAAATAAAATCAAAATTAATTTTAGCGGAAAAAATACTTTTGCCACAGCAAAAACTCTGAGAAATATTTAAAAGGTGGTGATTTCATGGCACGACATAAATGAACATTTCGAACAAAATTTTGAGGTGACATTTGATGTAAACCGAGCACTGGATTAATCTTGCTGCAAGAAACACAGTGCATTTTCAAAATATGCAGCATATTAAGCAAAGTAGGCTTTGGTCAGAGGTAACGGCAGAAAAGCACAACAAACAAGCCAAAGCTTTCAACAACTGCTTTCATGTTTTCAGCAGAAACCACTAGCAGCAGAAGACTACCACTGCTGCCACTACACAGATGACTATAAGATAATTTTCCGTTTCCTTTTCTCCGTTCCCGCCTCAATATTCAAAAATATAGATACAAAAAATATGCATATTTATTCATGATTAATAATAATAAGAGGAGAAAACCGAGTAAACTTCAGGTTTTCCTCGAAGTTTGTTTTGTTTTAAAGCTAAGGAATTGCAAAGGGTGATATTTCTTCATGTCATGCTAGTTGTTGTATTTTTGCTTTCCCCCCCATCCATTCCCCATTCAAACCCCCAAAACAAACCTACCTAGAAGCTGCAGTGATCTGTCAATTAGTTCTTTAGTTAAAACCTTGCATTTTACTCATTGTTTCTGTCGAATGTATTCAAAGAGACGGTTGTAGCTTTTATCAGTCATAGTCATAGCCATGCACGACGATTTGTTTCCTGCTGCTGAAAAGATTTTGACTGACATAGAGAATGTCTTCAAGAGAGATAAGCAATTGTAAGTTTTAAATTAAATGATTATACCTTAGTTACTCACTTTCACAAATATGAAATTTATTTGAAACGTACTTCAAAATAGTCTTGTTCAATAAAGGATTCTTTTTGACTCTTTAATGTAGTTTTAGGTTAAGATCCTATAAGGTTATATGTTCTTTCTTGTTTCCAGACAAGATTTTGAAATTGTGCCTGTGACAGTTGGGGAAAATAAGTCTCCTGTTCTTCATGCTGAGCATACTTTAGGTCTTCAAGAATGGTGTGTACGACATTTGTACGTGCATGTGTACCACAAAGTGATGAATTTAAAACGTCAACAACGCCTACGTCGTGAAGGTAGGGAATTAATTAATGAAGATTCTAGATGCTTATTGATATTTTTAGTGTTAATTCATAATTTTTCCTTCTTTCCATTTAAGATCCAAGTGTGCTCTCACGTCTATTATTAGGTGGAGTTCTATTAAATCCAGATTGTACTTCATTATGGAATATACGACGTGAATTTGTGGTTTTGGGGCGCTATGATCCATTTACTGAACTTCATATCAATGCTATCACTCTATCTAGGCGGCCTAAGTCTGCTGAGGCGTTTGTGTATCGTCGCTGGATATTGAAACGCATTACAGGTTTGTTATCTTAAGATTCTCTCATCCACTGATTTTGTAACACTACTCTATCTAATTGTCACATCCTTCTCAAGCTGATCTCCTTGAGGCTGCAACTTTGTCAAGTATTGTGGAAGAAGAGCTGCGTGTTTCACTCATGGCAGCTGACCGGTATGCCAACAACTATCATGCATGGAACCATCGAATGTGGGTTATGTCCCATATACCTCAAGCCCAAGATATATTTTATGAAGAATGGACTTCTTCAGAAATGTGGGTTTCAAAGCATGTATCAGAACATAGTGGCCTGCAATACAGGGAATTTTTACTAAAACAGGTCGATCAGCATTTGGATCATACAGACATCTGCCTGAAATTCCACTCTACTCTAGTAATTTTTTTGTCTCCACTGAAACATTTAACTTCACATAGTGAATCTTCCAAGGGCAGCATGCTATCACAGCGTTTGTATCTATCAATAATAGATATATTAGACAAAAAAGAACCTTGTTCGCATTGCCCAATTAATTGCAGTGGAAATATATTTATATTACAAATTGCTTTTTTAGCTTTTGAACTACTGTTGATAAAAGAACTGATACATTTATATCCAGGCCATGAGGCATTGTGGTGTCATAGACGTTTTGTTCTGTTTTGCTTTAAATCTTTAGCCAAAAACATTAGTGGTAATATCACCAAAGAAACAGATATCCTGGATGGCGTACCTCTCCCCAAGGCACAAAAATTGTCTGTGCTGGAAACCGATAATGACAATTGTTTTCTGTGGAGGCTTGTGATGTGGCATGAAGAAGTTTTGCTAAAAGATTATAGTACTAAATCAGCGGAAGAATCTTATCAAACCAAACTTGCTCTTAGACATAAAAAGTGGATTGATAATGTCTTGCTTTCAAAGAAAAATAATAGCTGTGATGCACAGAGTATTTCATGACACAGTAGTATAATAAATAAATAAATAAACATTGTTTGTTCTATTTAATTGGCTTGAGGGGGGGGGGGGTATTGGCTGTGCCAGCCATGTAGTTTGCAGCTGCAACTGTGTAAGCTTTAAAACACGGACGTGCGCGTACACGAGACGGCGGCGCTAACTGACACTCATGTCTTGAGGTCAGCGATGGGTTGCTTAACATTCAGGCTGGTCCAGTATGAAAATAAGCCCTTTGTTACATTAAAGGTATGTATTTTGGGCGGAGACGGCTCCGATTGTCCGAAGCTCGTTTGTCCGAACCTAATTTATCTATTTCAGTAAATAAAATGAGTAAAGTAGTTAATTACATTATGTTATTTCATTTAGTGGCAGTTTTTGAAATAAGAGCTAAATCAGGTACAGATACCATCAGGAGGGCAATTGAAGTGCCTAACTGCAGTTCCGGGCCTAGAAAAGGGTAAATGAAATAACTTACGCTATTTCAATAACATAAGTAAATAATCTTATTTTTGAACAAGTCTTGTTTCGCGCCACGCTGTGGATCGGCTGTAGTGTGCCACGGCTCTCGGATCTGCGATGGGTGGGTCACTTTCCTAAGTGCCGGGCGCGGTATTGGGGGGGGAGGGGGGGGCGAAATTGCCAAGTTCAGCGGTCTCAT